GAGGCTATGTATGGGGTCTGGTGTTCAGTGGAGTGAACCCTTTAATTGTGTGCCGGATGTTCATGAAGTATGGATGTTATAGCTGTGTATATAATAGCAATAATAATGTTATATAAGACACCAGTTCTCTCTCATTCTCTCTCTCTCTCTCTCTNNNNTCTCTCTCTCTCTCTCTCTCATTTCTGTTGACTGTGTGTTTGTTTCAGTGAAAACAAAAATATCATTTCTCTCAATTCACTTCTCTCTCCACACATCCAAATGGATATAAACATCACTCAACTTAATAGACATTAATATATAGATTACTTGTATATTATATAATAGCAAATGAGAGCCCGTTTTGTAATGTGTGTAAAATAAAAGTAAGAAATTTTTATATCGCATGATATGGTGTACGAAAAAAAATTACTATAAAAATAACTACAAATTCTTGCTTATTGTTTAATAAATATAATGCTTTAGTAGTGTTTTCATTAAACATTAAAATGTGATTATTATCGCAGTTGTCGTCGTCTGAGAATAAAAGTAATTTTAATTTTATTTCTCAAAAATAACTAAAAATATATAACATTAAAGTTAGACAACAGAGAAAACAATTCAATGCATTTATAATGCAATGAAATGCTCGACAAAACTTTGAATTTTATTATTGTTTTAAAACTAGTGCTCAAGAAATTCATTGTTTTTTTCGCAAAATAAAAAGATTATTGTTTTGTGTTTTATAGCAAATTCTTTGTGTAGTTTCATAACTAGTGATAAAATTGTTCAATAATTTCTATATAATTTATCACACAATTATTCTCTCTCTCTCTCTCTCTCTCTCTCTCTCTCATTACCAATGATTAAAACATTTCAATCAAATGCCTTTTGAAAGGAATGAGATGTAAAGATGTAATCAAAATATCATTCATTCAATATTTAAATTAAACCAAACAATTGATTATTTTAAATGCCTTTTTTGCAACATTCAAAACAGAATTTCAATTTTGTCTAAATCTATGCAATTTTATAATAAAATGTTATGTTTTATTGTAATTATAGTCTTCTTATCGTTCATCCATTCATTACACTCCAAAAGTCTAACCAAATTGTGTTTGCACTCAAAAGACTATCATATGATATGAGGGTTGAATAAAAATCTAGTTTTTGTATTCAAATAATTCAACGAGTTTTAGGTCCCTTTCTGTGTGTTGTTGTTATTCTGTGAGAATTGAAGAATTTTATGGTTTGTAAGGCATGTATGGCTGAACACTAAAAAAGATTGTAGTATTACTTGAGATCAAGATCTGGAATAAAAAGTTTTGATTTGAAAAATTTGACTCATTTTCTATCAAAAATAAAATAAAATGATTTTTCTCGATAAAAATATACATTCAAATATTTGATTCACTTTATTTCTATGTAAAGATTTATGAATTACTTGTGAATAATGGCATAAAAAACTAGTGGAATAAAAAGGTTTCGCGCAAAGAGAAAAACATTAAATTGATTTTACATATGATTACTATTATGGCATTTATTAATGACTCAATCACTAGAGAAATACTAATAATATATATTCCGTGGATTCTTATGCAAAAAATATCGCAAACACACAACGAGAGAGAGAGAGAGAGAGAGAGAGAGAGAGAGAGGCGAGAGAAATGGCATTTATTATATACGGAATTGCTTTTAAAGCGTGAAAATTAATGATTGAATTTAATGATAACAAACTAGAAATTTTACTAATCGTGTCACACAATACGTACAGCAATTTTTTGTGTGATCGCAATATATTTATACAAAGCAAACATTTTATTTATTCAAACTAATGGAGAAATTCAACGCTTCCTTCACTCGATATCTAAAATATTAGATTTTTTGGTCTAAAAATATTCGCCGATTTCTTCGTTCAGATCTATTCACTGAATATAATGTAGAATTTTTTTGATTTGATCTCAAATTCTTTACACATTTTCTTACTGCTGAACACATCTATACAATCGGGTTATGGATATTGATATGGATATGGACTTCAATATACTATACATGTGTTGTTATATCCTTTAAGTGCAGTAAGAAAATAGCAATACTCTCAACAACTTATTACTGGGCTTTTATTGATCACAAGTTAAGTCTTCCTTTACTTAAGGGTTGGATAGAGAAGTAAATGCATTGTCTTTGCTATTATATAGTGTGTATTGTATTAATCTTGATAATAATTAATTCTAATGTAAATAACAATACAAATATTTTCATTATAACTATCTAAACATGAGATAACAGATGATTACACAATCGGTGATTGTGTGATAAATTGCTTTCTAATAATTTATTGCCATTTTTCGGGACTAAAAAACATGAATGAATTGACTATTCATTACCTGTGAGAATGCATTGTATTGATTGATGACTACTAATAAACTTTGATTTCAATACAAGTTTCAATATTTCAAATAATTGTGTGAAAAAGGGGACACACAATGAGAGAGATTAATGTATTATCTATACTCATGAATACACATCCTATACCTTATGAATAGTGAAACAAAATTGTTAAAAAAATAGTTCATAAAAATAGTGATGCATTGAATGATGCAAAGAATTGGGAGAAAAAACCAGATTTGAGTGGAGTTGCCGTCAGTGATAGTGAATGTCATTTATTGAGCCAATGGTTGTATTGGATGAGAGAAACGCCTATTTATTTGCTCCAAAAGCTCTCCATAGATGACGAGTGAAGTGCTCTTTGGATTCCATAACAGAATCCAATGTTAAATGAATGCGAGCCATGAATTCTGGGGATAACACTTCTATACATAACTTATGGCACAAAAATGAGATTTATTTAAAAAGAAGTATTCAATGAGAGAGTGAGTGCTATGTATTGCGAAACGGAGTAAACCTTTAAAGAGAGCAAAATAGAGAGTAAATTGAATGAAGAAATATCAAACAAAATGAAAATATTTTCCCATTGAATCTCATATACATTGATATTAATTATGAATTATTGATACTATTTATGATGTGATTTAAATGTTTTAATTTATTTTCCATTTATTCTTGTCATCCGATTCTCATATCGACAGCAATAACAGCGACAAAACGGGTGAGAATTCCCATGTTTTACATTATACTGAATCAAGACTTTCTGTTTTGATTTATTAATACTGTTTTGAGAAACTATTCTCTAAATTATGTGAACACTGAAGGCATGAGAATTGTTTGCAAAAATATTTCAGTTGTTTTAAAATTTATTGCAAACAATATTTAATAAATTTTTCATTTCATGATTTAATGCTTGCATTCATTCATATGATATAATTGATACGAATTTCGTGTTTTAACGTTTGTATCGATAATATTCTCGCTCTCTATCCTTATGTCTCCTCTAATGCCTGACACTATCTCTCACTTATTTATGCCATTCATTCGTATGAATAGATTGCGTGCCATTAATTTGATTGCAATTTTTGGCCCGAAAAACTAACTCGTCGTGTCATTTGATTGTATCGATAAAAAATAACACTAATGCCTTCTATTCGGTGTTTAATAACACCAGTTATATATTGTGTTGTAAACGATAACAATATACTACAAATATATTGAACACTCAATTGAATGGCCAATTCATAGCGTCAGAGATGTTTTTTTTGTGCAATGCTTTTCATTCAATATCGTTGAGAAAGGACTCGAATTTGTCAATGAATTTAATTTATAGAATTGTATTTCTTATGAGAATATTCTTTCATTCAATTAGTGATGAAAGGATCCAAAGATGAAGAGGAGGACGAGAGAAGTGATTCTCCGCCTCCGCTCTCCACTCTCACATTAAAAGCGCCCCAAAAGTCATTTTTGGGATTACAATTGACGCCTACGTTGACCACATCTCCGGCCACACCGTCGAGAGAGCAGTCGAAAGAGAGAAGTCAGTCCATTAAATCGCCGCTCAAAAGTCCCAAAAGCCCGACAGAGAGCATAACAAAGCCGAGTCCATTACGTTCGCCGCCAAAGTTGGCCACACTATCTAAACCGACCACACAATCAGCCCTCGCGACCGCTTTCGCCCGCAATCGTAACGCCAGACACAGCATTGATGTGAGAGCTCTGCCCTCCTATTTGGCCAAAACAGGACGACGTCAGTCAACTTTCGGTCAATTCCTCACAGGTTTGTAACTTCTAATGAATGTTTGTGTTTTGGGTTTTGTTTTTTGGGTTTTGTTTTTTTGGTCTCTTATCTAATTTATTTATTCACCACTTTTTGGCTCTCATTTGTTATACATTTACTTAATTAGAAACTCATGATCTCATGATATCCTCATTAAGATTATCTCGAATTTCAAATTTAAATCTAAATTTTTCTTTAAGATAAGTGAACTTAAACTATATATGATTTATATGTTTGTTAATAAGAATACAAAAGAAATTTTAAATTAAAATTTAATAGAAGAGAGAGAGAGAGAGAGAGAGAGAGAGAGAGAGAGAGCAAAGACGAGACAAGTCTTATTATAAGAGAATTTCCTGTCGTTTTCAACTATAAGTTAATTGTTGACAAAAATATCGTAATTATTAAATATAGATAAGTATGAGTTAAATAAATTAAAGACATGTATTCTTATATGTTATTCAATGGCCTCAATGCGAGTCAAAGACAGACGAAATTATTTATTAGATTAATATCTTATAATCGATGTTCAAGTAAAGTATATTTCGCTGTAGTTTTTATAACCCAAACGCTTACGAATCCAAAAATAAATTACATTTGCCTTTAGTTTCTTCAATGAGAGATCCTTTTTATGTCTCTTGGGTTTAATACTATTGAATGAAACGTATATTTATTATATAAAACTTCATTTTTTGCAATTTAAATATAAGATCGTCTTTGGATTCAAGAACGAAGTCTTTGATTCAAATGTTATGTTTGTTAAGTTTGTGCTCAACATTCGGCCCAATGATCATTATTATAGATTATCATTACTATTATATAATATAGTTTTAGTCCCACAAAGAATTATATTTTATATATATTATATAACCAATCAGACAAAATCATATTATTTGCCAGAGAACTGGGATTTATAGTTGTCTTTACATTTTCAAAAATATATAAATGCATTTCGTATCGCAATAAATAGTGTTTCATATAAATCATAACTCAAACCCATTTCTTTCATTGATATTAAATAAAAATCAATGTTTCAAACGGTTTTGACAATTAGTTTTTGTATAGCAATAGTGAAGTGCACTTTGATTTGCCCTCTAATATAAATTAAGGACATTTTATTACATATGAAAAGCTGGTAATTATCGGGGGACCAATTAATTGGGAAAATTACCACAAAAATACGATATTAAGTATGAAATATAAAAGCATGAAAAGTATTTTATTTGTATTTATTCTTAATATTATTCTCAAAAGAATTAATGTTTTTTAATATAAAAATTTTATTTAAAAATTTTCGGAAATAAAATATATTATACAGTATAAAAATTTTACATTTATAAATATTAATACTTTTTTGTAATTCAGTAACAAATTTATCAAAAAATATATAAGTTAAATATTTATATAAAATTATTTTCTAAATAATAATTTTTATAGAAAATATTAATATTTAAATAATTATGAATTCACAGTAAAAATATATTTTATATTTCAATTCATTATTAAAGTGGCGATAATATTAAAGTTTAACATTTTACCAAACGATTTATTACACCTAGTTTTCAATTACAGTTAAATTTCATAGATTTGACTTTATTTTCATCTTTTTAATCTATAATTTATTGCTTATATAATACATAATTTCCACACATTTTAAATTAAAATAAGGTTTACTTAAAGCTTATTCTATATAAAGGCCTGACAACAGAATAATATATTATAAAACTATTATTTCATTTAATGTGTTACAGAATTAGATGTAATATTTTGATTCTTATCACAATATTTATAGTTTTTAGAAAATTGTTTACTAAATAATCAACTTATTCTTCTCTCTCTCTCTCTCTCTCTCTCTCTCTC